GAAAAAAAAAAAGGCTGTTTGATTTGGTTTTATTGATCGTGATTTATGTGTTATTGATCACGAATTGTTATCCTATTATGTGTTTAAGATTTGTTTTCCTGTTTCATCTTCACTACCTATTTTTCATTTATTTCTACTTCTTGCTGCAGCTATTATGATATTAGTTAGCCAATGATAGCCAAGTGATCGCGTTATCGTTCAGTTTGTCTCGTGTTTTTTCTTGCAGTTATTGCATAATTGTAATGGGTTATGAAACTCCAAGTGATTTAAAGGGCTGGTATCGGTTCCGATAACTTCATACCGATATGTATCGAACAGAACTAAACACATTAGGTTTCACTAATATGTAAACGAAACCGAACCGAAAAATTCAGTAGCCGATTTTTTGGTTACCGAAAAAAGGGGTTCGGTTTTGGTTTATCCCGAACTAAAACCGAAAAAACTGAAAAAAAAAAAAATACCATGGAATGAAACAGACAACAGAGGCTTGAGACTTGAGATATAATGGAATGGAAATTAACAGAGGCTTGAGATTTAAGAATGGAATGAAAATGAAGTAAGAGGCTTAAGATTAAGAACAATGGAATGAAAATGAAGTAATGAAGCAGCAGCAGGATCCTTAAGCAATAACATAACAAGCTTGAACTCAAAGTCACAACACAACACACCATATCTAATCTTCCAACTTCCAAATCCAATCACAACACAACACACCAATATTTAAATCACAACACAAATGTGATTACCAATAACACGTCACAAAACCAATTACATTACCTTAGGCCTTGGGGCACGGCGGGCTAACGGCGAAGGTGAGCCAATGAAGCCGTGAAGGTGAGTCGGTGAAGGAGGCTTCCGATTCCGAGTCGGTTGACGGTTTCCGGTGAAGGTGGGTCGAGGCTTTCGATTCTGAAGTGAAGGTGAGGTGAGGCGACTGCATTCTGAAGTGAAGTGAAGTGAGGCGAAAATGGCGAATAGAAGATCTGAAGTTATGGCTCTCGATTCTGAGATCTGAACTTCTGAAAATGGAGAATAGACGATATGAATTATGTAGTGAAGCTCTCGTCCAGGCCTAATTTTTGTTCAACTAATATATTGTTATATTAGTTGGTTCGGTTTATTTGTTCAATTAATAACATATCGGTAACCGAAAGTCAATTACCGTTACACACGAGTCAGTTGGTTCAGTTTATTTTTCCTTCGGTCCGGTTCGATTTGATTCGGTTCGATTTTCGGTCAAAAAATACCAGCCCTGATTCAAAGGGTTTGTTTTCTGTTCGTCATATCGCATTCTTCTTTTGAATATTTTGGTTTTGATTCATTTACAATTTTTTCTCCAGGGATCGTATATATATAAACGTATATCCAAACCGGACGCATAGTTATTAATTGTGCGAAATACTTTCGCATATTTTGTAATTGCATATCTAAATCTACCGCATAATTTTACATATGTGAGAAAGTTTCGCATGTTTAGATATTGTAATCCAAATCGAATGTTGCATATTTTATGATTATGCGACCTTTTTTCGCGTAGTTTACGACTCGGATATCCAAAACTATAATGTTCGTATAATTAATGATTATGCGTAATATGTTTGCATATTGACGAATCGCATATTCAAATCGAAAACCGCATAATTTAGGACTATTTGTCATTTCTTCGCTAATCCTTATTACGAATGCATATCCGTAGAAAATATTTTGCATAATTTACACACCCCTATGATTGTCTGTTCTTTCACGTAAAATACTTAGACATATTCATATCAACTTTGCATTATTTATTAATATGTGAATATATTTCGCGTATGATTCACATAATTACGCACCGCATTAATTGAGTGTTTTGTTTCAAGTAAAATTAGACACACAAGGTGTATTTCTTTGTCATAAATTTTACTACCATTTAACATTTACTCCTTCTTGCATTCTATTGCATTTCTTATTGTTCAAGCTTTTTACGGTCCCATATCTACTGCATTTTTTTTTTATAACTTATTTGGCTCTTGTTATTCTTTCTTTTAAAAATTACACTTTGTTACGTAATTTTGTGTCACGAACGACTTTTGATGCCTACGTCTGAACGGTCCTCT